CCCCCCCCCCAACACAGGCATGAGGGGCTTCATGACGGACCATGGGCAGCCAGACCAGCCGCGCTCGGCCCGCCTGGTGCTGAAGGACTATGTCAAGGTGCATTTGGGGGCTCCTGAGCAGCCTTGGAGAAGAGGGCGTGGAGGGGCCTTCAGTCCTGCTCGACCACTGGGGGGCTCTGCACCCCCTCTGGGCTGGCAGGAGGCAGAGCCAAACCCCCCCCCCCGCCCCGTGATTCAGGAGAAGCTCCTCCCCTCCAGGATCCCTGATCCAAACGGGGGGGACAGACCAAATGGGCGTATGCAGCAGCCACTGCCCAGCCAGCCTTCCACTGCTGACCTAGCCCACAGGCCGGGCGCTGGCATCACCCTCGGCTCTGGCCTGGCTGCTCTGACTCAGGGCTGTTAGAGAAACCACTCTGCCTGCTTTCCCTCCTCTCCCCCGAGCCCAAACCAAACGGCACTGGTTTAACCCGGTGGGTGATGGGGAGGCTGAGGCCGCGTGGGATGCTGGCTGGCTGGCTGCCTGGGCAGGGAGCGGGGGTCGCCCAGCGGGCAGGCGGATCCTTCTGAACGTTTCTGCTCTTGGCCTCCCCCACAGGGCAAGCTGCTCTACTGCCACCCGCCTCCGGGCACGGATGCCCAGCTCTTCCAGCGGGGGCTCCAGCGGCTTCACCCCAGCAAAGGGGGGGCAGCAGCACAGCGTAATGGGGAGCAGCCGCCTGGCAGGGGCGCCAAGGCAAAGCAGGCGGAGAACCCGGTGGATGCGGCCTTCTTCCGCCAGGTGAGGCCGTGGGAGGCCTCAGGGGAGGGGGCTGGTGGTCCTGGTCTTGCTTCTCTCTGCGGGGGGTGGGGTGGGGTGGGGGGTGCAGCCTTCAGGATTTGGAGCACTGCAGGTGGCCAGGACGGCTGATGCGCCCGGTGCCCCCTCGTCTTCCTTCCCTCGCTGACCCAGGTGAACCTGCTGCCCTGGCATTTGCCTTCCCTGCGTGCCTCTGCCCCCCCCCTCCAGTCCCCCCTCTCCTTCCTCGCCCTCAGGACCCCTCCCTCCCCGGCAGAGACCACATTGTCTGGGCTTCCACAATCTGTTGAGCTGGAAGCTCACTTTGCAGAGGGCAGGGAGCCTAAATTAAGCAAGGTTAACACTAACCAAGTTAACGTGCTGTGCAAACGCAACCCAGCTGGCAGTCTTGGGCCCTTGAACTCAACGCAGCCACGGCAACGCCAGCAGACACGGGCTCCGCTCCAAGCAGAGCACCCAGGCTGCTAGAGGGGCCCCGCGGGGGTCCTTGGGGCCGCCCGGTGGGCCAAGGCCGCTTCTCCAGAAACGGTGCCTGAGGTGGCCCATCCAGGGCTTCCCCCCGCCCCCTCTGGTCCCCTCGCACAGCCGCTCCCTGGGCAGCTCCGGGGGGGGGGGGGGGTTTGCCCTCCGGGTTCCCTCCCAAGCCAGCAGCCCCCTCAGGTGCGGCATTGGGCTGGACGGGGCCTGAAGGCTGTGCCTGTCTTGCAGGAGAATGTCCAGGCCCTGACCAGAGGCAACCGGGCCGGGCTGGGCTACCCAGCAGGGGCGGCTGCCCACTCCCCTTCTGGGCCTGGCTTGGCCGATGGAGCCGGGAAGCCGTGGAAGAGACACGGGAACAGGAACAAGAAGCAGAAGCTGCGCCGCCTCACCAGGCACCTGGAGGCCTGATGGAAGCCGGGGCCCTCCGAAATAAAGGAGGTTTACCTTCATGGCGTCTCCTGGTCACTTGGCCTTTGTCGTCTCCTGAATCATCCTTCACGGATAGAGACGGACACCGATTGGCTGCCGGGGCTGGCTGGCTCTGCCCGAGGGGGGGGGGGGGGGGGGGGGGGAGGGATGGTTTTTTTATGGGGTTTTTTATTATTATTATTATGAGCTGGATATATAAATGTCATCAGCTGCCAGGAGTCGCCTCCGATCTGTGATGTAACTTGGCTAAATAAAACAAAGGCAACGCTGAGAGCTGCCTGTCAGCAGAGCCCCCTGCCCAAGCGGCGCCCTCTCCTTTCTCGGTCCTGGGCCGGCCGGTCTCCCCCAGGCCTGGTTCAAGCCCTGCCTTGGTTCTCTCCCCACCCTGGCCTGGCGGGAATTGTGCCGTGGTGGTAGCCGAGCTGGTTGCAGGAGCCGCGAGGAAGAGCTTAGCAGCCCACGAAGCCACCACCCTCACCTAGCCTGCCGTGAGGATCTTGCTGTAAGATGGGGGGGGGGGGGGCTCAAGGGGGGGGGGGGGGGCCCGCTGAAGATATTGCCCCAAAGGCACCTGGAAGACCAAATGCTGGACAGGTGGGCCTTGGCCTGATCTAACCAGGCTGCCCTTCGGTTCCCCAAAGGGGGCTGGCTCTGTGGGCCACCCTGCTGGCCCTTGGCCTGGGCTACCCTGGAGCCTGACCGGCACCAAGGCTGCCCATCTTCTGTGCCCAGTTTGGGTGGGTGGGTGGGGGAGCTCTGTCCCCCTCTTGGCCTCCCCTGCAGCTCTTTCCCCCCCTCTCCCACACGGGGGCGCTCTCGCCCTCTGGGAATTTCACTGAGCAACAAGCCTGTTTTCCCCTTAAGGGGAGGGGGGAGGGGAGCAGCCTTGGGACGTCATTGAGAGAACACCCCTCCCCCATGTAAGGTTTTGTTTCTTTTTTCTTTTATGCAGGGAGACATTAATATTTATCTTTATTCCAGCAATGTATAAGGGGGAATGTAACTGAACAAAAAAAAGGTGAAAAATTAGCTGGCAATCAACATTTGTATTCCACCAAAAATTAATGGATGCACGATTCCCTTCTGTGGAAAAACTCCCCTCCCCCCTTTATCTCCCCCTTCGGGCGGAAGCAACCTCAGAGGGTCGGTTTTTTTGTAACTCTGCCTCCTACCCTCTGACATCCAAGTGGGGAGGGGGAGGATTTTCCCCTCGCCCCCATGCAGTGTGTTTTTCGCTGTGCAAAGCTTGAGGTGTTGCACACACAGCCTGTTCCCACTTGGCCCCTGGCCCCTGGGTGGGACTTAGAGGTGGGCTTGACTGGGCCTTCCCCCACTCCCTGCGATTCTTTTTCTCAGCTCTGCCTCGGTGGATCTACTGATACATTGCCAGGCCCCCTTCGTGCTGAGCTCCACTCCCCCAAGAGATGGTCTCCTGCTACCCCTCAGGCATCCCCTGGTGGGACAACGAAGGCTTCATGGCGCCTTCTGGGACGGTGAGCTGCCCAGGTCCTGAGGCCACGAAGCAGTTCCAGACCACAAGGTTCTCTCTCCCCATGTCCGGTTCTTCCGGTGAAGTGGTGACTTTGGCCAAACCTGTCCTCTGGTGCTGTGGCCAGATCACTTTGCCTCGCCTGCCAGCGCATGTGGCCTCGGTGTCCATGAGCAAACATTGGCCTTGCCCCGATGCCCTCTCCGGGCAGTAGAGCCTCCTGCCCCCCCCCCCCCCCTTTGCAGATCTGTGCTGTGTCTTTCTTAAGTAGTGGGGATGAAGTTCTGGGGTCCTTGGAGCCTTCCATTATCCCGCCTTCTGCTCTCGGGCTGAACCGGGCAAAGATGCCGTGCTTTGAAATGCTCACTTGTTGATTCCTTCTGGACAATGGAAGGATAGATGTCCGATTGGCCACCTCTTAAGATCCCTTCCCAAACTCCTAGGCACCCGAGAGCTCTTTTGAAAAGTGTCTTGCTGGCTGTGAGAGGCAGAGCCTGTCTACGGACCAGCCTCACTTCTCTTGCAGCTCAGGAGAATCCCGCTGGACTTGGGCGAGCCCACCCGGTGCCAGGACCCATCCTCTGTGGTGCTGGCAAGGGCCTGCGTGTGCTCCTGCTCAGCCTGGTTGGCCCTGCTTGTCACTCGAAACTGGCAGCAATGGGCCAATTTGATTGCTGTCACTTTCAGCCCAAGAAAAACCAGTGACTGACAGCAAAATTGAGCCTGGAGTCGAAGCTGCTTCGTAAGGTTGGGACGGTTCCCCTGCACGTCACTGAACTGAAACATCCACCGTCTGCAAATGGCCTGGCCTTCCTGATTGGCCGTTTTTGCTGCTTAAAACAGTTCCCACTTGCAGCCATCTTGCCAAGCCTCCCCTCCCCTCTTCTTACCTTTCACTCGCCAACCTCATTAATCGAGTGATAGAATCTTGCAAGTCTGAAAGAACCATTTTCTCCCCCACCCCTTTATAGCCTGATAATGCAGAGAGGGTCCTTCCTAAGTTTCTTCCTCTGACCTTAAGACAACTGGGGGCTCCTGCCCTTCTTTTTCCCAACAGCATTTCTTCCCCCCTTTCCCCAGGCCACCCACACATTCCATTGCAGGGCTGCAACCAGAAACAATAAACTAGGTTACTTAAACTTTGATTTCATTCTGCTGTGGCTTAGCAGGCTGCGCAGGGCTCCCTAGGAGTCGGTTCTAGACCCCGTTTTGCACAAATCCAGCTAGGAAGCTGCTGGAAGAAAAACCGATGCAGGTACCCACACCGCACCTACCACTTGCCTATGGAACTGACCACCTTCTGGCCTCACAGCAATTCCCGAACCAGTAAGGATGATCCGGGACGGCAGTAAAAGCAAAAGCACAAAGGCTTCAACGAACCAAGCTCAGCTAGCCTGCTCTCTTTCTGACCCGCAGAAGCAGCAGCCTTTGAGCATCTCCTCCTCCCCCCCCTCCCCACGCCCCCAAGGCCTATGGCTGAGGAGGGGGCTTTGGATGTTTTTTCCTTGTTTCTTAAACATGCACCCTCTTTTATGTTTTTCTGTCAGCTGCTCTGAGCTACTGATGGCAGATAGCAAGTATCTTTAATTTTATTTTGGAAGCAGCAGACTGCATGGAAGGAATGTACCAGTGGCATCACTGGCTTTTGTGGGGTGGGGAGATCGGAGGTGACCTCGCTGTGCTTATACAGAAAGAGGACAAGGGTGGGGGTGTCTGGCTTCGTTGTGTAATTCAGGCAAATGCTTTTGACTCTGGTCCAGTAAAAGTGTTTTCTGGCAATTCCTCTGGATTCCTTTTGCAGCCCCTCCAGGCCCCCAGAACCACTGGCAAGGGGAGGGGCAGAGCACACTCGGATGCAGCTTCACTGGGCCTGCTCCATTCCTCCCCTTTTCTCCAGGACCCCTGGGGCAGCCCCAGGCCTCCCCCAGCACTGGCTTTGGAGGGGATGCTTCCCTGGCCAAGAAAGAAACCTCCCAGCCAGTGGGCAGCTCTGTCTAGCCTGCTACGGTTCATGGCGGGGGGAGGGTTTCTGGGTGGGACCTTGGAGACTGCAGCTCTCCCGGGTGCCAGAGAAGGGAAAACGGCTCCTGTAGCAGCTGGGCCCACCTCATCAGCCCCACAACTAAAGCCCTATTCCCAGGACCCACCGGCTGCTGCCCCTCCATACTCCCCTCCCCTTGTGTCCCAACTTCTGCCTGGTCCAAGACAGGGGGGGGGCAGCTGAGGACCCAGGACAATGGGAGTCTCTGCATTGGCCTCGGCTCCCCTCCCGATAAGGCCCAGACAACCGGCCCCAGGGAACACCCCTCCCGCTTTCTGCCCTCTGGGGCGGCTGCTCCAGGGCCCGGGGTCACGTCCAGGAGGAAAGCCCTTCGTTTGCCCTGCAGCTTCAGCCCCCGGCAGGTGGGCAGGGGGCGTCCTCGGCCTGGTCGATCAGGGGGCTGCCCGGACGCTCCCCCCCCGCCGAGCCCTGCCGGACCTGCTGGCCGAGGGGCTGAAGAGGCGCCGGCCGGAGGATAAAATCCCCCCAACACACACGGGGGGCACCTTTAATTGGGGCTGCGGGGGGTGGAAGGACAGAGCCGAAGGTCCCCTGGACGGGTCGAGGGGGGGGGGTCGCTCCCTGGCGGTCTGGAGGGGGCGGGGGAGGCGCTGCGCCGGCTCCGCAATTCCTTCGACGACGCGCGGGGGTCGCCCGTGGCCCCCGGGGGGGGGCGGGGGCCCCGGCTTGGGGGGCTCGCGGGGGCGGGGCCCCCGGGGGGGGGTGCGGGGGCGGCCCCGAGCGCCTCTCCCGCAGAGGCACGTGGTCCCGTCGGGAGGCCCGGCCGGCGCGGCGCATGACGTCACTTCCCGTCGCCGGCGCGGAGGGGCCCGCGGAGGAGCCGGTTGGACGCGTGCAGCCTGGCCGGGAGGGCGGGCGGGCGGCCTCGGCAGGTGAGTCCGGGCGGGGGAGCCACGTGGCCGGGCGCGTGGGGCGCCGTCGGGGGGGGGGGGAAATCTCTGGCTCGAGACCCTCTGCCCCGCCCGCCCCTCCGGTGGGCCAGGCCGGGTCCCGGGTGGGAAGCGGCGGCGCCGGGGTGAAGTGCGGGCTCCCCTTCGGGCGAGGGAGGCTCCCCTGGGAGTGCGCCTGCTGCCCCGGAGGCCGCTCCAGAGAAGGGGGAGCCGCCCGGGGACCGAGTCCCTCTCTGCCCCCGACAGGCCAGGCGGGAGCCCGGCCGGCAGTTCCGCGGGCGGGAAAGCGGGAGCCTCCCCATCCCCGCGGGGGAAGCCGCCTTTGCTGCCTTCGGGGCTGCCCCCCCCCTTGCCCTACGCCCGTGGCCGGAGCCCCTCCGTAGGACGGGACCGGCCAGCCGAGCCTCTCCCGCTTGGCCCGGCTCCTTGGCCCGGCTGATTCCTCTCCTGGCGAGGCTTGGGGGGGCGGGCGTGGGTCCTGCCCTCCCCGGCCGGAGGAGGGAAGAACCCCGCAGCCCTAGAGGGCTCCCGCTCCCCCTCGGGCCAAGTTAAGGCCCCGGGTGGTTCAAGGGACGCGCCACCGCCGCTCGGCCTCGCTTCCTGTCCCTGGAGCTCTCACCTGGCCGTGACTTTGAGCACCCATTTATAAAACGGCCGTAATTTAGATGTAACACGCGGGTGTGATTTCATGAGGAAACCAACAGAAGATGCGCTTTATGTTCCTAAAAAGGAGAGGGCGGCTTCGGGATTGGGGGAGTTTTGAAAGCTCCCCCCCCCCCCCAAGGTGAAAGGGAGGTGGGCCCGATGCAAACCTTCTGCCCCTTTGTGGCTGGGAGAGGCTCTTGGGCAGTGGAAGCACCTTGAGTTTTAGAGGGTCTTCAGGCGTTTGGGCAAAATGGGCCTTTGGAGCAACAGGGGAAGACGAGCCCTTGGTGGTGGTGATGAAATGGGAGGCAGAAACACCTTTGCCAACCATTTCCCTACCATGGATTCCTCAAGGCTTTGGACTTCTAACGTCCTGCCTTCACTGGAAAAGTTGGGATACATTCAGCGATGCCTGAAAAGTCACCCTTGTTGAACTGTATAACATAGTCCAAATATCAGCACAGGAAATGTATAATGACATTTTGCATTATGTCATAAATCCCTTTATGATAAATGTCCTAAAATGTTCTTTTAAAATGGCCAAATTTCAATTCCAAGTGCCGGAAGCATGCATCTTGGGTTTTGGGTGCATTCTCTAAATTAGCCCGTTTGAGGTACCTTGGTTCCAAATGTTTTGCCAAGTTAAAGATTTGAACTTATCAGGCGCAACATGGGCTTTTAAACATTTTTATTAGTGTATAGATATAAAGCAGCTTAATTCCAACCACTGCATTTAGTTTTGTATTTGATGGATACCCAACCAAGAGAAACCTGTACCATCTGTTGATTTCATGTCATTGTTCATCCAAGAACAAGGAGGATTAACACATCTTTTTAAATTACTCTGAATTTCTTTACACAAAAATGCCTGTGTTATATCCTTCCAAAAATCTTTATTGTGGACACCTTACTTTTTATAATACTCTATACAGCCCATTCAGAGTAAAAAAAAAAAAAGCACAAAATAATGAAAATTTCCCCTGTTCTTGTGATATAAGGCAGCATTTTCTTACAAAGCAAAATGTTGAGTCTGCTGAGTTCAGTCCATTCAGAAAATAAAAATTTAACAGCTATGGGGGGCGGGCTTGGCTCTGAAAAGGGCAATGAAATTTTAGATTGGTTGTTTTCATCAGTTTTTATTCCTTTATTTAATATGGCACCAAAAATTTCAGAACTTTTAAAAAAGAAAATAGAGAACTAAAACCCAGCCAAAAAAATCAGAAAGGCTTGCATGTGTTACTTACATTACATAAGACAGTCTTAAGGAGAGAGGCCCCACGGTTGAAGTTACATTTTCAATATTCCCAGAATTTGATTAGAAGAGACAGCAGTAATCTTGGTCAATACAGGCACTAATAAAGGGCCAGATTTGAAAAAACAACAACAACCCTGTCCTTTAACAGCAGGATTAATTCAAGTTCTTTGACTGTTGCTTTAGTCAGAACTCTGATCCTTGGGGATTTCATTTCTGACTCAGGCCTAGAGTTGAGTCTGGCAGCCAGTTAAAATTGCTAACACTGAATTTCTAGGTTGGACCTGAATTATACCTTGTGCTGATGCAAATCCCTATCTTAACTGGGATGCAGGTCAGAATGTCTTGACCCAGCAGATCTGCTCTCCACACCTGCCATGTTACGAAAGAACGTACCACACCGCCAGGTCCTATCATCCAGAGGGAGCCCAATAGCCCTCCTCTCGGGCGTACATTGTACCTTAGCTGTGATGTAAGGCTTTGCTTGTCTGATTTGTTAGCATAAAGGTACCTTTGGCCTTAAGTCTCACTGTCCAAATGAAATACATTTTTTTACAGAAGGCAAAACCCATAATTCTGTAAAGAATGTATTTTTTAGCAATGTAAATATTGCTTTAGTTTGACGGGTGCTAGATACAATGGTCTTCCTTAGGCTTAAACTTTGAAACAAAAGCTTACATTATGCTGCAAATCCCAAGATGGGAAACGATAAAAGAGAGAGCTTTGTTAAAAAGTTGCTGGTATACTTGTAAAATTTCCAGGTATTCATCCAGCGATGATGTCATGCAGATTTCCAAATGGTGTCAAGGGGGCAGCTTGACTTGCCGTTCAGCTGCAGAGTCCTTCTGGCCGCACAGAAGCTCCTCGGAGGGCTGTCCCGTAGTGGGTGCTGATTGGCAGGAGGAAAATCAGGGCCAGGGACGTTTTTTTTAAGGAAGGCGGCCATTGCCTAGCCTCTGCCTTCTTGTCACTTCACGGAGAACACCTCCGAAGAGCGGGCAGGAGGTGACTCTCCTGTCGGCCACTGAGGGAGGAGAAGCTTTAGGCCTGCTGTGCAGTTGCGCAGCCTTTTAGACGCAGGGCACCAGGCCTGCCAGGAGCTGGGACGGCAGCGACACGGCCCGGAGTCCTCATCCATCCATCCCTTCACGGCATTAGCTGCCTTGACTCGGGACTTTTCTGGCGTGGTTTTTGTGCGTTTGTTTTGTGGGGGAATGAAAGCTGCGTTTTCAGTTTTTCTTTGAGCTGAGCGCAAAACAGGCAGCTGGCGAGACGGGTGTGGAGGAGGCCCTTGAACCGAGGGGAGGGCGATGTCAGATTTTGGGAGTCACTCAGTGGGGGGACAGGAGCGGGGTGGCAGGGGGTTGGGCGATGGTTCTCTCGGTCTGGAGGGCTTCATCGCAGGGATGGCTGGGGCTCCTCTAACAAAGCCTCCAGGAACGGGTCGCCTCAGAAATGTTATCGCTCAGAGGATAGCAACAAGGACAGGCAGGGCGGCGGCGGCGGCTGCATGACACAGTTCAGGTATTGTTTAAGCAAAAATACACACTATTTTTAGGTGCCTCCAAGTAGCCCTTGCCAACTTCCTCTGTGATTTCATCTGGCCTCCCAACTCTCTGGTGAGCTGTGGGTCATACGGGCCACTCTGGGAGGCGCCTTTCTGGGAATGCGCCTGGGCGCTCCGGCAGCCACTGCCCCGAGGCCAGCATGCCTGGGGAACAAAGCCCAGAGCGGGGCCTTCCTGGAGCCCTTTCTGCTTTTCTCTGGGGGGGGGGGGGGAGGGAGACTCCGCGGGTTCTGAGGGGAGCGGTTTCCCTGGTCCAGTGAGATCCTGGGCCTCTGGGCTAGTGAAGCATGGTGGCCTCGGGGGGGGGGGGGGGGTGCAGCTTCACCCTCTGTTCCGAAGAGGTGGAGCCCCAAAGAAAAAATGCACTGTGAGCAAACCATTCTGTGCTTCAGAAACAGGTTGAACGAGCATCAAGTCATTCTGAAACCTGAGGGTTGGTGTGATGCCCCCAGGATGACGCCCCCCCCCAACACCTGTGCGCTCTAGAAAGGCCCATGCAGCCCTGTGCAGTAGCCCCCCTTCAGAATCCCTTGGTGAGGGCGGCTCTTGTTCCTGCCCAGTGGGGTTCCCCCCCCTCCCCAGCCCCCTCAGAGGTCTGGATTGCCCTAAAGCCCTGGCTCTTCCCTCGGGCACTGAGGCAGCTGCCAGGATAGGCATGGCAGGAATTTTCATCCTGAAGCTGTTGGTGCTTGTTTGTGGTTTGTCTTATTTTGGTTGGAGAGCGATGATTGAGTGGTTGCTTTTCTTGTTGTCAGTGGCTTAAGATTCAGTGGCTCTCTCACTAATGAATGGTTGAATGAATGAATGAATGAATGAATGATGGCATCAGTGAGGGATGCAGTCTGGTGGAATTCTGTGCATGCTTTTCCTTCTGCAATGGCAGCACTTCCAGATTTGTGCATTTGTCACAACTTTTCTCACCAGAAGATGTGAAACGGAAGTTGCGGGGGGTGAGGGGGTGTCTCACCTCCTGTTTCTGGGGCAAGCGGCCCCCTTTGAAGTGCACCTGGTCTCTGTTTCTTCCGGGTAGCAAGTGGTTCCGTGAACCGGGAAATATATGGGTGGGAAGCCTTTCAGGTTTGACTCCTGAGCAGGGGTGTCTTCTGTGCCAGTGTTTCTCGACCTTGGTGACTTTAAGTCATGTGGACTTCAATTCCCAGAATTCCCCAGCCAGCAAAGCTTTGAGTTGAAGTCCATCTGACTTAAAGTCGCCAAGGTTGAAAAAGATACTCTTCGGTGCTCTTCAGCCTGCTAAGAGAGCAGATGAGAGACAACTTGGCTTTGCAGGGATGGCGGAGGGGCCGTCGCCAGGTCTGCAGGCAAACTGCCCTGCTGCTGCTGGGGAGCAGGCAAGACCCCTCCTTCCTGCCGGAGTTTGGCCAGTCTGCCACACGTCCAGTCGAAGCCCAGTTCCCACCAAATTCTCTTTTTGTGCTACGGAAGCTAAAGGTGACCTTACAAACCAGCCTACTTTCCCTGAGAGGCCTGGCTTCAGTTGCATCTGCCTATTTTCTTACCTGGAAATAAGAGTTGGGTAAGCAAGTTCAAAGCCTGCAGATGGAGGATGCCTGGTAAAATAAGAAATAACAGAGTCAGGAACGAGTGGCTGCAAAAGGGAGTGACCGGTGGACGTGGAAGCCAGTTGGAGACAATGAAACGGCCACGTGATTCATTTTGGCTAACAAAAGCGGAGGGGAAATCCACCAAAAACACACCACCTGCTGTGCCAAGGACAGTTCACACATCCCGGCAGTGGAAGCCGCTCGCCCACCAGCTCTGACCCGGGGCTTGGGCAAGGCCAGGTCTTCAAGGCCCTTTCAAAGGCAGCTGTCTGGGGCGCCAGAAAGGCCCGAGGGAGGTGGAGGCTCCCCTGGCAGCCAAGCTTTTCTGAGACCCTCCTCCCCAAAGCCAGAAGATTAAAGAAGAGGGGTGGGAGTGCATGTGGCTGGATGAAGGGATGGAGAGTTACAGCCCAGGTGAGAAACCCTGCACCTCCTCAGACAAGGGGTTGTCTGTCCTTCTTGAAAACTTCCAGGGTTGAAATTGAAGTGAATGCCTCCAACGTTGGGAGTTTTTAAGAAGAAATTGGACAACCAAGGTAAAGGGAGTTGGACTAGAAGACCTCCAAGATCCCTTCCCTTACTCCGTCATTCTGTGAGTGAGCAGGGCTGGCATTGAGCCCTCCCTCCCTCCTCCTTGCGCTCTCGCTCTCTGTGTGCGTGTGTGCAGGTATGTCCTCTGTGTTGGATGCGTTGCACCAGTCACGGGCCCAACCCCCCCCCCCCCCCCCCGTCCCCCGCCAACAAGGCCCCCCCCCCGGGCACCCCCCCCGCCCTGCAAGTGCCGGGTGCCCCCCCCACCCCCACCCAGTTTTGGGGTCTCGTGCTCGCCCCAGCTCTGAGCACAAAGCCGCCCATTGTGGAAGCAAGGAAGGGTTTGGTCGAGGCCTAATATCCTCCGTGCTTTTAGCCCTGCCGATAACATCAGGGCTCCTGCCCAGACGGCCCTCGGCCCCAAGCGGCCATTTGTGTGCTTTGAATAGAGAGCGCTGCCCCCTCCGCCTGGGGTCTGCCGGCACATCCTCTGGCCCGGCCCCCCCATTCAAGCCAGCCATTGTTGGGTTTCTTGGTGGTTGCGCTCCAAGGCGAGCTGTGCCAAGAGCTCTCTTGATAAAGGAGTTTAAGCACTTCGGAGACTTTGTTTTCTAAAGGCTCTGACAAAACAGTTCATTGGCAGGACTTCCTCCGAGATAGCAGGGCGGCTATTAAGGTCCAGCTGCAGCGATAAAAGCCGGCCAGGCAGCGGAGGGGATGGAGGGGAGCTCTGGCTGCTGCTGCTGCTGCGGCTGCTGCTGCTGGCACTGAGGGAGCCCGCCCGTCCGCCCGCCTGAGTCTCGCGAACGGCTGGCTGGCCGGCCTTCCCTTCTGAGGCGGTGCCTTTCCAGGCTTTCATCCCTGGGGGTGAGTGAGGCGCCTGAGGCCCAGGAGACGATGGGTGCCTGGCAGCCTGGCTGAAGCAGGAGCCAGAAGGGAGCAGGACGGGCAGGGCCAGCTAAGGTGGCTTGGGGGGGGGGGGGGGCCCCCCCCCTCCCCCCCCGGGCCCCCTGGGGCCCCTCAGCTTTGGCCGCTTGCCCTGCAGGGGAGGGAGGGGTGCCAAAGCTGCAGAAGGCGGGACTTGCTCTGGGTGGGGGTGGGGTGGGGGCCTCGCTTTCGGCTGAAGTTGCTCCTGCAAGGGCAAAGCCATCTTGAGAACCAAGTATCAAACAAGCTCTGTGCCCAGTTATCATTTCTGACGTCTTCCTATCTGGCCATGAGCTTGGTGCCATTTGCCCTTTCGGGGGGCAGAGCCGCCTTTCAACGGAACAGCACGTTGAGAGCCGCAACATCACCACCATCATCTGTTATGATTGATCAACCAGATGTTTAGAGAGGATTTGGCTGCCTTATCCACTTCCTAGCTCTACGCCTGGGCTTTGCTACGAAACTATGTGGCCCGGCTTAGTTTTCGGGGAGGAAATAAGGGGGAAAAATTCTGCCTCTGCCTACCAGCATCCATCTGAATACCACCTGGTTAGCGTCCTGTCAGTGTGTGAGAGAATTGAGGGCTGTTTGGAAACTGAAACAGTATTTGCTGTGAGCAAGGAGACAGCGAGGAGCCTGGGTGTAGCTAAGCTCAACTGTTCTGTACTAAAGCTGCTGTGAAATTGAAACTGAACCTCCTCTCCTCTGCTTGTGTTTTGCATTTGGAAGAGATTTCTTTTCAAGTGAGGAGTAGCATCAGAGCGTGTTAATAATAATAATAATAATAATAGTATAGGAAATACTCTAAATGCTTTGATGGTCATTTAGAGAAATCCTTTCTTAGTGAGGTCCTAGAAGCCAAGAGGAACCTACATGCCAAATTTCAAGTTTGAAGGCTTTATGGTTCTGGAGATTTTGTGATGATGCGTGAGGGCTTTTTCGCTTTTATATGTATAGAAGAAGAAGAAGATAGGATGGTATGAAAGGTATTGTCCCAAAAGGTAAGCCCTTGGGAGCCAAGCTGCTTTTTGCAATTGACTGACAGTGATTTTGTCAATGCCGCCGGTGTTCAAGAGGTGTCTTTCGATTGCACCCAAAGCTTCTATCGTTACTATTGGCATGATCCTTGCTTTCTTGGACTACAGTCATTCCACTTCCATTTGCAGGTCTTTGTAAGTTGGATTTTCTCCAGTTTTTCTGTCCTGTGTCTCCAGGTATTGCAACATCCATTATTCAGATTTTTTTTTTTAATCTGTCTTATCAAAAGTTGTAAAGTGTGGAATGTTCTGTGCCTGGTCTGTGCCTGTAGGTTTGCATTCGAAAGTCCCAGAGCTCTTTAGAGCTGCTTTGTTTTCTATGACTTTCTCTACTTTATGACCCCGCCAGTTCTTGCTTCCAGGCAAATGATATTTCTTGAAGATCGTTGTTGCCATCTTGTCACGCCGTTGCTTGTAGTCGGTTCTTGTGATCTTCTTGTGGCAGCTAATCCAGCGGTCCGCTATTTCTTCACCTTCTTTGCAGAGGCAACATTTGCTGTTTGTGGTGGTCTTCTCTGCCTGGGTTCTCGAGGTCTTCTTGGTCTTGTGCAGCCAGAATTAGCCTCGTCCTCCCACTTTCCTGCTCTTAGCCATTGCCAGGTCTTGTTGGCACCTGCTTTGCCTGCCATTTTTTTTTTAATGTAGTGGCCACATGATACTTTGTCTCCCCGTGTCTCTTTTCTATTCTTTCATTTTGGTCTCTCTTTTCTATTCTTTCATTTTGGTCTCTCGAGTACTCAGGAAGCTTCAGTGCATAGCAATAGCAATAGCACGTAGACTTATACATCGCTTTATGATGCTTTACAGCCTTCTCTAAGCGGTTTACAGAGCCAGCCTCTTGCCCCCAACAATCTGGGTCCTCATTTTACCCACCTCAGAAGCATGGAAGGCCGAGTCAACCTGGAGCCTGGTGAGATTTGACCTGCCAAATTGCAGGCAGCTGGCTGTCAGCAGAAGTAGCCTGCAGTACTGCACTCTAACCACTGCGCCACCGAGGCTCTTTCTCACTGTCCTTCAATGGATAGTCTTCCAATGCCCTTTTCGCTTCTTCAACTGTCCGATGTACTTGGCAATGTTCCCCGCCCATCTGTTTTCCTTGGGAGGTAGAGTCTGTCAACATGGATGGGTGGATTCGTTGTCATTATTTTTCTGATCTTCCTATCCAGGGCCTTCAGTTCTGCTTGAATCCAGCTCACTAGTATGACTGGGATTGCCGAGGTGTTGATTGCCTTGATGCTATTTCCTCCTCTGAGTTTGGACCTTAAGATCCTTTTCACTTTCCCAATGCCTTCACTTCTAACCACCCTCTTGACTGCCCTGTTCTTGACGTTGCCAGTTTGAAGGCTGCCCAGGTGTTTGCAGGGACTGTCTTCATCCAGACTCTTCTTGGTGTTATTTGCAGGGGGCCTCTGGATTCCTTCCGTGTTATTGTCTTCCCCTGTGGAGGCTAAGTGTGGCCCCTTCGCCCAGCACAAACTCCACGGCAGCATCTTCAATATAGCCTCTCATTCCTCCCAGAACAGGTCAGCACTGGGTGGACTCCCCCCCCCCCCACCCCCCCCCCCCCCCCGCCAAGGAGACATTCTTAGATCTGCTTGGACAACAGCATGGATTCTGGAAGATGCTTTATTTTGGGGGGTCCAAATCTAAATGGCAGGCTTCTAACTTACTCGGGGTCAGGTCCTAAGTTGGCTTTACTAGTATAGTAAAAAGTGGGTTTTCCCGGATGTTTTAAGAGCTTCTCAGCTTGAGGTGGAGTTTTTTTCCCCATCCAGTGACACCATCTGGGGCTGGGCTTGTGAGGAAAGCGCCCGGTTGGCCTCCTTGGGGGCCGGTTGTCCCTTTGGGGGCAGAGGCCGGCCTCTCCCTTCTGGGGGTCTCCTGCCAGTTTGAATCCCTGGGTCTTATTCTCTCAGGGGGCATCAGTCCCACCTTTACTGTGGGGCTGCCCTCGGCCCCAGTTCTCTCCTGGCCGGCCCTGGAGGAAACGGGGAGGCCGAGGCTGGCTGCTGGTTTCTCAGAGGAGGCCTCCAAAGGCAGCCTAGGCCCTGGAGCAGAGCGCGGGGTGGTGGTGGTGGTGTCGTAGCCCTCCTGCCCTTTGGAGGTCGGGGCCGCCAGCTGGGCACAGAAGGTGCTAGGCGAAATGGGTGTCCTCCCAAGGATAGCAGTTAGTGCGGCCAGGCCAGGCCAGGGCGGGGAAGCCCACCGGGGCGGGAATCACAGGCCAAGCTTTTGGAGTTTACAAGGCCCCCTCCTCTCTCCTGGGCAGAAGGAAGCACCTTGCTGCCTCCCCTTTGCCTCGGAGCGACTGTCGCCCTCGCAGCCCAGCCCTGTGGGCCCTCCCTGTTCCCTGCAGTCGGAGTGAAGTCCAAACCTTCTGGACTCCACCGGCAAGAAAACCCTCCCCCTCCCCCCCAACCTGGATTGATTTGGATTTATCAAAAGGTTTTAAACTAAAAACTGGAGGGGGGGGGAGGGAAAGCAGTTCGTAGGGGCTGACCCCGAAGAAGCAAGTCGGCTGAGTGGTAAGAAAGAAAGGGAGCTCAGACGCCCCACGGGGGGGGGGGGGGGGGGGGGGGGGGAGGAGGAAGCAGACGCAGGGTCAGTCCAAAGGCCCTCAGGTGCCCTGAATCCACTAACCCTGAAAGTATCAGGAGGAAACTTGAAGTCTGGGCACATCGCTGCCATTACTGAGGCTTGGTGGGATGAAATGCAGGACTGGAATTTGCAGCTAGAAAGATTTATATTGTTCCAAAGAAACAGACCTGACAAAGGAGGAGGCAGAGTAGCAATACAGGTAAGAAATAACTACACCTCTACAGAAACTACATTTCTGAAGGAAAAAAAAAAGATGAAAACCTTCTTGAATACATTTGGATTGACATCATCAAAGGGGAAAACAATGAGTTAGTCATGTGTAAATACTGCAGGCAACCCAACCAGAGGAAATAGATGAACTTTTTACTAATCTGTTAGCTAAAGTGTGCAGGAAACACATTACGGTAATAATGGGGCCTTTATAACCACTATCAACTGGGGGACAAAGTTTGCACCGAGTGGGAGATCAAACACCTTCCTGATGAACCTATCTGACAGCTTAGTCTCTCAAAAGGTAAAGAGGATGACTGGAAGGCCAGTTATACTGGGCTGAATTCTTATTAGCAGAGATAAAATGATAGGTGGACTTGAAGCTGTGGGTGCAGATGGGGGTGAGTGACCAGGTCATATTGGAATTGAATATAATGCGGACATGAACAATGGAACAAAATCAAACTAGCGTCTTGGGCTTTAAGAGGGCTGATTCCAACAAACGGAACGCAACGCAACACAGCGGAACAGAAGAGAATGGACGACAGCTTTCAGGGAGAAAGCAGAACCACCTAATTCATTATTTGTATTTGTCTTTAGACAAAAAGTGGGGGGTGGGGGAGCAGGCCAACCTATCAAGCAATACCATAAAAGACAGAATGGGAATGCAGGCCAAAATAGGCAAGAGAAAGCAAAGGCACAGGTGTAGAAGAGGTGGCACCTGGCTCAACTGTAGTAACTGTGGGAGGGATCTTGGAGTCCTGGTGGGCAGCCCCTTGAGGGCGAGCCAGCCGTGTGCGGCGGCTGCCAAAAAGGCCAACGCAGTTCCAGGCTGCATCAACAGAGGGATAATATCAAGATCAGGGAAACTGACGGTGCTGCTTTATGCTGCTGTGGGGAGGGCAAACCCGAAATACTGCATCCAGTTCTGGCCGGCACAACACAAGGAAGAGGTTGAGGTTCTGGAAAGAGTGCAGAGGAGAGCAAGCAGCAAAGAGGCTTAGAGGGCTGGAGGCTGAAGGGTATGATGAACTGGGAGGTTTTGCCTGTTGAAGAGAAGGGTTAGGGGTGTCTCCCAGCGCTGGAGGGGCTGCCCCAGGGAAGAGGGCTTCCATCCCTGCTCCAAAGCCCCCGGGGGCAGGACTTGAAGCGGCAGGTGGAGGGAGGGGCATTCAAGAGAGGTGCAACCTAGAACCGAGGAGACTTAAGTTTCCTGGCAGAGCGATGAGGCAGTGGAATGGCTTCCCTCCAGAGGCGGGGCTTGCTCCCTCGGTGGAAGTTTTCAAGAGGAAACGGGGCAGCCATTGGACCAGGGCAGGGTAGGGTCTCTTGCCACGGGCAGAGGGCCCCTTCCAACGCTTGCTAGTCTCTCTTTGCCTTCGGGGAAAAGATGGTCCTTTGGCAGGGAGAGGATAGAGCCAAGGTCCACTCAGGGGCCCTGAGAGAAGAAAACCATTGCAACTCTCCCCTCTCCCAAGGCGGGGAAAGCCCGGGGCCTCCGGTGGCTGACGGTGCTGCTGACACCCGGGTCCCAGGGCTTCTTCCTGCACACGGGGAGATCCCCCCCCCCGTTTCGAAACCAAACCAAACCAAACCTCTGCGAGAGGCGTCGGGTATAGCTGGCAATATTACCTTATTTCCTGGTACGGGGAATCCAGGGTGGCAAAAGAACAGGATAAACCCACCTGCCACCCTCCACCCGGGTCTTCAGCAGAGGGACAGAAACCGAGTTGGGGGGGGCATTTAAGGGGCAGAGAAATGCCCGCGGGGAGGGGGAGGAGTGGCCAGGTGTGGCTCTTCAGGTGGAGCTGCTGCCTTCCATGGTGGACAGGTTTGGTTTCTGTTTACTTCAAGAGGCCCTGACTTCTTGAACAACAGGATTTAGACACGGATAATCCTCCACTGAAGCCGAGTTTCCATCGCTGGGCGAGTTTTGCCTCCATTTCATGATCTCTCTTTGCCACGATTCCAGTGAACCCCTGCAGCTGTTAAGTGAAACATGGGGCGGTTAAGTGAATCCGGCATTGACTTAGCTTGTTGGGAAGCCGGCTGCATGGGGTGTGTGTCTGTCTGTCTGTGTGTGTGTGTGTGTGTGTGTGTGTGTGTGTGTGAGTGAGTGATCCCAGGGCGCTGCAGCCGCCCTACAGCCAAGCGTCCAAACACTGATCCCGTCACTGTGGAGAGGCTGTGACGGTTGTAAGCATGAAAACCGGTCATAAGTCTCTCTTCAGTGCTGTTGTAACTTCGGAGGGTCCCTGGACAAGGGGTTGTAAGTGGAGGTCTACCTGAACCATCTTTTGTAGCCGAAGGGTGACGAGGAGCAAGACCTTCGTATGCTTTTAAGAGCCCCGTAGCTGAGTTCAGCCCAGGAATTTCCTGCGGGCTGTTGCCACAGAGCTGGGTTTCTTCCCCCCCCCCCCCCCAGGGTGAAAGCTTGTTTCTTCTTAGTAAATGTGCTTTAAAACAGCATTTCCCAACCTTGGCTGGGCAGAGCTGGCTGGGGAATTGTGGGAGTCCAGTGGCCTAGAAGCCCCCCCACTCTTTTAAAAGCCGCTTCCCTTTTCTCTCCCCATCCAAAGGGTTCCCGGGACTGAGCTAAGGATTCAGCATCATGGAAAGTGAAGAAAACGTGCTCCAGGAAGGCGAAGAAGAGGAGCTGGTAATTCCTTCACCCTGATCTCTTTCCCTCCTCTTCCCCACCCCCCACCGCATGGCATCACGCACACGCAGCTGCAGAAATAGTTGAGCAGAGATTAAAGGTTTCCTACAGCCATTCTGAGCTGAGCCCACATGTTGACCAAGATCTTGCCCGCCTTCAACGTGCCATCAGCCATGGAAGTTTCCTGGGCAGCTTGGGTCAGTCTCCCTCTCTCTCTCTTTCTATCTCTGTCTCTCTGCCTCTGTCTCTTTCTCTCTCTCTCTTTCTCTCTCTCTCTGTCTCTGTCTGTCTCTGTCTTTCTGTCTCTCTTTCTGTCTCTGTCTCTTTCTCCATCTGTCTCTCTCTCTGTTTCTGTCTCTCTCTCCCTCTGTCTCTCTCTCTGTCTCCCTCTCCCTCTCTCTCTCTCTCTTTCTCTCTCTGTCTCTGTCTGTCTCTGTCTGTATCTGTCTTTCTGTCTCTCTTTCTGTCTCTGTCTCTTTCTCCCTCTCTCTCTCTCTCTCTGTCTCTCCCTGTCTCCCCCCCCCCAAAGGGCAGCTCTCGAAGGGAACCCTGGGAGAAAATGCAGAGGTGGCCTGGTCCCCCTCCTTCCCACAGGGCAGCTCTTCAGGGACAGTGGAGGTGGGGCAAAGTAGCCTTAACTTTTGGGCAACTTTTGATCCCCTGTTGGAGGGGATCCTGCCTGGAAGCCCCACTTACAGAACACTCCGACCAGCCCCTTGGCCAGGTGAGGCTGCCACGGAGACAGGCGTCTGGCTGAACCTCGGTTTAGGAGGGCCAGGGGCCTGTCCCAAGGGCAGGTCCATCCTCCCAGGCAAGGAGCATCACAGAACCAGCCGCTCCAGCTCGCTTCCAAAACGGTGGCCTTGGTACGGAGGGCTGTGATGGCCCTGGAGGGGTGTTGCACGGCAGGCTGACCCCGGAAAGGATGAGGGGGCACCAGGGATGGTGGAGGGGGTATGGGGTGGCCTCAGGGCCTTTCGGAGCCCCAAGGCAGTTCCTGGCCGCCTTCCCAGAGATCCCTGGTGCAGACCTTTTTATTGCCACTTCTGGCTGCCCTGAGTTTCCGTAGCAGAACCAGATCCTGGGATCCTGTAGAGTTCAGTCCTCCCTTGGCTCGTCTCTCATGGACAGAATCTTGGCCGACTGAAGCTATGATACCCCAGGATCTGGTTCTTCCTGTCCATTAGATGCAAGCCAAGGGAGGACTGAACCCTACAGGATCCCAGGATCTGGTTCTTTCTAAGCTGCTCCATCTATCGGGAGAGCTTGTAGGGTGGGGTCATTATCCCTGAACTTCATTCCCCCCCCCCCCCCCCGCAGCTTGGGACTCTGCCAAGCCTTCCCCCTCTGCTGCCGCTGCAGGTGCCCCCGCCATCCCCCGCCTGCCCCCTTCCTTGCTGCTGCCCCCCCCACGGGGCCCTTCCTGGCCCAGCCCTTGCAGTTGGGGGGAGGGGCTGGGCCGTCTTTGGGACGCTGCTAGGGCTCGTCCTGTCACGGCCCTCTCCTCCTACCCCCCTTCGAATGGGGCCGTGCCCCACAGATCCAAAGGGCCATTGTTAGGCAGCTCATGGCAGACCCCTTCAACGTGGCCCCTTTCAGCCTGGCCCCTCTTTTGGCAGAATTGGGGACGGGACGCCTGCGGGGGGGGGGGGGGGGAGACGGAGTCTGCGTAGGCCTCCCGCCTTGCCTTTTCCCTGCTCTGCTGATGCCAAAAAGTGGTGGGGATTTTGGGGGTGGGTGGGTAGGTGGACAATAAGAATGAAAACGGTGTTATAAAATGAGAAAAATTGTTTAATAAAAATAATATTAAAAATTTAAAAAGGCCACCGCTCCTGTGCCAGGGCCACTAAAGCCCTTCGGGCTGGTGGCATCCAGTCCAGGAGCAGCTGTGAGCCGCCCCCAGCCAGGAGCCCCCCCTCCCCTTCCCCAGGTGCCCTGCTGGACTGGCCCAGGCTCAGCCTGCTCTCTCTCCGTGCAGAAGATCTACGGGTACAACTTTTGCCGGTGGAAGTTGGTCTTTGTGGCCGGAGGGGTGCTGTGCTCGGGCGGCCTCCTCCTCCTCCTCCTCTACTGGATGCCGGAGTGGCGGGTGAAGGCCAGCTGCCAAAGGGCTTCACTGAGACATTGCCAGGTGGTCCTGCTGAGAACGACCGTAAGCCTGGGCGGCTGTGGCGGCTGTGGCGGGTGGGCTCGGGTTCTGCTCCTCTGGTTCTGGGGTGGTCCTCGACGCCAGCTGGGTTGCTCTCCGGGCCTTCTGCTTCAAGAGCCAGCAGGCAGCTGGACTTGCGTGTCTTTCATCCGCCTTTTGAGGATGTTGTTTTCCTGGCTGAAATGCTGTCAGCGTAGGGCAAAATAATAAGAAAAAGCAGGAAACTTAAAAGAAAATGGAGGTTAGGTTAGGCAACATGCTAGCATCTAAAACTGGGTTAGCAAAAGGCCACGTAAGCTAAGAACAGCTCCAGGCTCCACATGATGCTAAGGCAGCGGCTGGGCTCCCGCCCTGCCGAAGAGCCACTGAGCGACAAGGGAAGCCGGAGATTCATCAGGAAAGAGAAGAGGAGCCGTTGCGTTTTTATGGCTCTGGAAAGCGGCCGCCATTTTGCGTGTCGAGCGACAGGAGGGTTGCGGAGAGGAAATGTGGCCAGGCGGATAACTTGAAACTCAGGAGCTCAGCAAATACCCAGAGGGAGTGAAGAGAATTCAGCTGCAGTGGAGAAGGCAGGAGGGTGAACTTGGGCACGAGCACTTCAGAGTTAGCTCTGGTTTAGGCCTTTGGGAAGTGGGCCTTCGGGTTGGCTCCATTGGGGGACCTTCTGAGGCCAGCGGGGTCCGCTGGCTCCTAGGAAAGGCTCCCTGGGCTGGCCTCCGCCCCCCCCCCCCGGCTACCGCTTGTCCTGGGTGTCCCCCCTTTGCCGCCTTGGCCCCAGAGAGTCCCCTCTGCATGGCCAGGCGGCTCTGAGGGCAGGAAGGGCGGCCCAAGCAGGTCTCGGAGCAGAGCTGGCAGCTGGACCCGCTTGGTCTCCTGTGATTCCAGGAGCCACAATAGAAGTCCGTTTTTGCCTTTTTTCCTTCCTCCAAAGGACGAATTCCAGAGCTGGTTCTGCGCCAGGGTCCGGAGGGTCTTCTCCCTGGGCCGCCACCCCTTACAGGCCCCCAAAGAGCTGGCCTCGGAGAAGGTGGCCAACGGCTCCAGCGCTCCCCTGTGCGTCCCTCCCTTGGAAGAGAGCGGCGGGGGCAGCAGCAGCAGCAGCGCCTTGGACGGCCTCCCCCAGGACCCACAGCTCCTCCAGGTAGCCAGCACGGCCGGAGCAGCCTGGTGAGGCCCCGTGGCACAAGGGAAGCTTCTGGAAGTCTTCCTCTGTGGGAAACGGGGAGCAAAGCGAAGGGGCGCTTGGCTCTCCTGCGGGTAAAGTGACCCAGGGGAGGCGGGCGTGGGTGGAGGCGTAACGCCACCGCCAATCCTCCACCTGCCTGGCTGAGTCTCCCCCTGAAGCGGCCACCCGGCCTGTGTTTCTTGCCTTCCAGCTGCGCTATTTCACCCACCACAGTGTGAAGTATTTCTGGGACGATGCGGTCCAGAACTTCACTTCCATAAAGTAAGAGACGGACGGGGGGGGGGGGGGGGGGGGGGGGGGGGGGGCGGGGGCGGGGCAGCGATGGATGCCCTGGCGGCACAAGGGCTTCTCCTGACCGACCTACCCGGGCCGGCCTTTCCCACAACCCTCCTCTCTATTTCCTGCAGGGGTTTGGATGACTCCACGACCTGCGCTTCCATCCACCGGGAACACAGCACGGGGCTGACGAAGGAGACGCAGGACTACAGGTGAGCCACTGCAAGGAAGACGGGGGTTTGGGGGAGGGCTCCCCCTCAGCGCCAGCTGCTGCTTCCCTGCCTCCCTCCCCCCACTCGGCTTCCACGCCCACCTGGCCACCCATGGCCTCCCTGCTCCGCCCTCCTTCTCATCTGCCAGCTCTTCCTCCTCCTGGCTGGCCCTCAGTGCTGGGTGGCTGTTGGGTAGCAGCTGACGGCTAAATTTGTACACTTTCCTTTTTTCTCTCTCTCTCTTTTGGATGCAGGAAGATTTTCTATGGACTGAATGAAATCGCGGTCAAAGTGCCTTCCATTTTTAAACTCTTGATTAAAGAGGTGAGCCTTTTGCTGTGGAAGGAGGGGTGGGAACGGGTATTTCTTGGCTGTCTGAGTCTTGAGAAAGAGTTACGGCGCGGGGGGAGGGGAGAGACTAGCAATCTCCCAGAACCTTCCCCCCCCCCCCCCCCCTGCATCTCAGGCTGTTGCCTGTGTGGGTTTCTGTGAGGATCAATTGACTGTCTCATAAAGCAGACAGGCAGGGTTGGGTTGTGCACAAGAACACTCCAAACTCTGTGTTGTGGCGTCTTTTCCTGCTACTTTGTCATCTAAAAATGTTCTTGCTCACTAAGCAGAATCTGGTTATTCTGCTTCCAGGATCTTCCTGGGGTGGGAAGAGGCCAGACAAGGACAGAAGGGTTGGGGGAGCAGGGCTGGGCCATCACCCTGGGTGAGCTCTTTGCAGGTTGTGTAGTGCAGGAGTGCCCAGCCGTTAAGGCCTCCGGACATCGGCTCTGTTGGCTGGAGAATTCTGGGAGTGGAAGTCCACAACTCTTAAAGTTGCCAAGATTGGACAGCCCTGCTATAAGGACAAGTAGTGCCCAGCCTTGGCCACTTTGAAGAAGTGTGGACTTCAGCTCCCAGAATTCCCCAGCCAGCATGAATCACTGCTGCAGTGCCTAATTTCTTTTTGCTTTTATTGAATGAATTAAAAAAAGAGAGAGAGAGAAGGAAAAACAACTATAAAGAAAAAAGGAAATTAAATTAAAAATCAAAACTAGAATATATATGCACAAGGGCGTTTCAGTGAAGGTTGTCTGCCTTTCCTTACAATCATCTATAGCTAATCTATTTCAATAACTGATTCAGTCCTAAATTGCTACTAACATCAATACTGCAAGCTATTGACTAGCTGAGGCCCTGCATTTATCTTTCCCGTGCTGGAGAATATTTAAGTAGGACATGCAGAATCCAGTTTCTTTGTCCAGATGCCAGTTTTCACACAATAAGAACGTAGCTCAAAAGGATCTAATATTAAATCTTGTCTCAAATCTTTTGGGGCCCAGAGCATTAAAGTGAAACATTAATCTCACTGCGCCTTCAGCATGTTGTGAACCGGCTAGAGTCGCCCTTAGATTCAGGCAGCATATGGGGTTTAATTAAATGGCTCCTTTCCTCCAGCCTTTTCTACGTAACCACAATGGATTCCAATAAGTCTGAAATATATAGAGGGCCCCCAAGAGGAGTTTCCACTAAGGAGAGTCAGCCACAATTTGGTGCTATAAGATATGCAGAAGGCCTAATTCAAGATGTGGAAAACCAAATTCTCCCCTCTAACGGACATCTGCAAGTATTTAAAAGAGAGTCACCACAGCCGTTTGTGAAATGTTGGAGTAAATGTGAGAAAATACGTTGTAGATATCTGTGTGTGTGTATGTGTTTTGAATTCCAGGCTGGGTCTATAATATTATATGTTTATTTTAAGAATATGAACCTTACTCCAAAGATTAATCTTTAAAACTGCCCTCTATCGTAATTCAGTCAGTTCTCCTTGGGCATGTGATTCACGCTGCAAAATTTCACTCGGCATAAGAAGTGCAAGAAGTAAGTGTATGGTAGAAGGGATTTTTACCTGCTGGTGTCAGGTGCCCCAGGAGACGGGATATCCTGCTTCCCCCCCCCCCAACTCACTTAGCTTATTGGGGGGGGGGAGACAAGTAATAGGTGCATTTGGTGTATCCCGCATCCCTGCACTGTGGATGGGCAGTTTGACCCGACCGTTTCAATCATGGAGAATTCCCTGTTACCTGTGACTTGTAATAAAACCAGCCTGACCAGTGAAGGCAGCCTCTTCTGCCCTCTGCTTGCGACAAGGGTAGCCTCCCACGTCCATCTAAAGGGGGAAGCCAGTGGCACCTCCCTCCCTCCCTCCCTAGTTATGTGTCCCAGGAGACCAAACGCTGCTCTGAGTTGGCCTCAGCAGAGGCTTCTTTGCCCCAAGGTGGAGCTTGACCTTGGGGTGGAATGGGGCTCAGCTCCAGCCTTCGAAAAGCTGAGGAGCCTCCCGGTGGTGCCTCCTTTCTAAGCTGATGCCTTATGCCAGCCAGTGTGTGTGTGTGTGTGTGTGTGTGTGTGTGTTTTCCCCAAAGAGGTTGGGGGCCGGTCCTCCAGAGCAGGACTGGTGAGCAGAGCCGCCTTCTTCCCGGGGCTTCCCTGGGCTCCGTTCCCTGTCCTCTCTGGCAGATCAGGAGGACTCTGAAGGTGGTTAACCTTGAGGAGGGAATTCCGCCTTTGGACAACCAGGGGAAGGAGGAGAGGGCGTAACCTAACGCTGGTTTTTGTTTTTCTCTCCCCCCCTCCCCCCCCCCCAGGTCCTCAACCCGTTCTACATTTTCCAGCTCTTCAGTGTGATCCTCTGGTGCACGGACGAATATTACTACTATGCAATTGCCATCGTGATCATGTCTCTGATCTCCATCGCCAGCTCTCTGTACAACATCCGGAAGGTGGGGGCTTGCGGGGGGGGGGGCGAAAAGCCCTGCGGGGGGCAAGCAGGCTTGGATTCTTCTTCCACGGCTTCTGTGCATGCTCAGCTGGCTGGGGTTGGTGCCAGGGGCCAGGCGTGGGTTGCTTTTAACTGATGGAGCGAGTTGCTTGGTCAGCTTAGGACACGGGTCCGGAGCAAACACTGGACACATGAAGGGGTTGTGTTAGGGTGCAGACGGAGCCTTTGTGTTCCCAGCGCGTTGGGTTGTCCTGCCCTAAACTGTGGCTTGGATGGGGGTCCGTCCTTGGCCTTCCTTGGATGGCCCGAGAGAGGTCCCAGGCCCTGCCGTCATCCGGCCACCTGCTCTGGGCTGGCCAGAGACATTTCAGAGGCGATACCTGTGGTGCTTAAACACTTTATGAACCATCTTGAATGTTCAACATTTCTGCATAAATGAGTCAGAAACAAATACGTATAGTTCTGGATCACTTTCTTCAATGAATAGATTAACAAATGGAATATTTTTGACTTACTGGATTCGCTTGATCTGGTTTCCGGACTTGTGTGGAGAAGAGAGCGCAGGTCTTATTCAGGCAGAAAGGATGAAAATTCAGAAGGGTTCACAGGCCTTTCAGCACCACTTCAGCTCTGGAGGCGGCTGTGACTTGTGTGGGTCAGCCCCGTTAGCTGCCTCGGCAGAGAATCGGGCGGAAGGACCATGCTGGACCCCTGGGGGCCTTCAGGATGAGGGAGCCTGGGGCGCTTCGCTCACAGCAACCGATCAAACAAATTGCCATAAGGTCAAGAAGCGATTAAGGAGAAAGATGGTGAGCAGGACGAAGCGAAAAGCTTTGGCAAAGGCCCTGAGCTTATTCCTCACCCCTCTTCTGAACCAAGCAGGGGGAGGGGGGGCATTGAGGGGAGCCCCATTCCGGGGGATGGGCACTGCTGTAGAGAATTAATTAAATATTGGTTTCCGAGTGCCTCCTCTAATGCCCCCTCCCCCTTTGTCTGGTGCCTCGAGACATTGCCTGGGGTCTTGGAACTGGTGCCGCATCCTGTTGGGGGGCGGCAGGTGTGGCCTCTCGAGCGAAGCCCAAGGGAGCGTTTTATGCCCCCGGGGGTCCTTTGAAAGGCAGGCCAGGATTCCGGTTTCCAGGGGCTCCTCAGTTCACCCCTGAATTTGGGTTTCGGGAGCAAAGTTGTTTGGAGGCCCCGGCCGGCTGGACCAGGGGACGTGGGGCTGCTCTGCTCTGGCCGGACAGAACCCCTCCTGGGAAGCCTCCCAGCTCTGCTGGGCAGGCGGGCTGGACCCTCAGGAAGCTGGGGGCCAGTTCACAAAGAGCGCAGCAGGGCACCCCAGGAAAGGCCCTCCAGCTCTGCGGGCGTCGTCTGCCTCCGAGGGACCTGTGGCTCCAAGAGAGGGCGATGCCACCCAGAGCAGGCCGGCTGGCTGGCGGGAACTGCTCCCCCTTTGACTTGTGGGGTGGCTGGGATGGCTCGGTCAGGCTTGGGGGGTCTGGCTAGCAACGTTTCCCTCTCCTTCCTTCAGCAATACACGATGCTGCACGACATGGTGGCAGCTCACAGCATCATCCGGGTCTCCATCAGCAGAGCCAGCCACGGTAGGATGGGCCGGGGCAGCTTAGCTGGCAGGAAGGGTGAGGGCGAGGGGGGCATCTTTGGGGGCTCCTGCTTAAGCTCCTCCTGAGGTGCAAGTTGCTGGGGGGGGGGGGGGGGGTGAGGGAGCTCCCCAAAGCAGCAGGTGGACGCTTCAGAGCTGGGGCTGGTCTCGGGGCGCAGGGCCGGTCCTTGGCTTCTTGCGGGCAAGTGTGTGCTGGGTTGGCTTCTCCCTCGAGGGACGGTGGCCCTTCCAGGCTGGGGGTCCCTCTGCCAGCCTCAGGCCCCTCCCGGAGTCTTTGCCAGGCTGGGCGTTGCCCATTTTCAACCCTCTCGTGCCCTTCAGGTGTGGAGGAGGTTCTGTCCACGGACCTGGTGCCCGGGGATGTCATTGTGGTCCCGCTTCGGGGGATGATCATGCCCTGCGACGCGGTGCTTCTCAGTGGCACCTGCATCGTCAACGAAAGCATGTTGACGGGTGAGTCGGAGGGGCGCTTGCCCCGTGCCGGGAGCCGGGCCCCAATGCCGCGGGGGCCTGGGCAGTGAGCAAGCTCCTCCTTCCCTCCTCAGGGGAGAGCGTCCCCGTCACCAAGACCAACCTGCCCAACCCGTCCAAGGACTGCCAGGCCCTGGAAGAGGAGGTCTACGACCCAGATGGGCACCGCAGGCACACCCTCTTCTGTGGCACGACCGTCATCCAGACCCGCTTTTACACTGGGGAGCTGGTCAAGGCCGTGGTGGTCAGAACAGGTAGGCCAGCGCTGGGCGGGAAGGAGGGCCCGGGCCGGGGACCCCATGATTCAGGGGCGTCTTTGGGGAAGGCTGCT